ATATTAGGAAAGCATCTTTATACCCCTTCGCGGCTACCGCGGTTTATCATTTCAAGTTGACTTTAGCTTCACTCGTACACTGATGTAACAACAGCCTTTTTATGTTACAAACTTATGAGTTTTATTCAATTTAAATCGAGTCGTGTTTGAATTGATTATTTCACATTTTAAAAAATACTACACTCAAAACTTTCATAATATATTTACAGGATTGCTATCTTCTCGCTGTACTGTGTGGTCAGAAGCTTCCGAACAATTTTGAAAACTCTCGGTAATGAAATTACGATTTCGTATAAAATTGTCCAGTAAAACAGTTGGTAACGAAATGTCTCTTCTGCAAGATCCAAATAAATTACATTTCCCACAAAACCTAAATAAATTGAAAATATCTCCGTCTGCAAAGTTCTGATAAATTACTTTTTCTTTTTACAAAAGCTAAACAAAATGCAGCTTTTACAAAACCTTAATATGCTGTATTTCCTAGTAACTTACAGAGTGTCATTAAATGATACTGGGTTTTTTAACATTATACATGTTTGAGCTGTGGACAGAATTTGATTCTGATTGATCTCATATACACAGGTGTCATTCTTAATCTTTCTTATGACCGTAATAGCGTCTGAATGGAGGAATCTTTGCTGACGTCACTGGTAACATTTGCTTGATTACCACACGACTTTGCGGACATCATGCTAGATACAAATTGACTTCAAACATGAGCCTGCGAAACTAATTTCAGCTCTCTCAGTGTAATGCTGAAGAAGACATATTGGGTTTCCAAATCTCAAAATTTCATGGTGGCAAAAGTGTCAAAGCGCCGATACATTCCTTGTACAATTTGAGTCATACCCCGTCACAAGAAATTTTTGTAGGTCGATCAAAAACTGGAGCGTTACAACCTTCGCTTTCTGGTTGATGAAATCTAACATCGACCTCCTGGAGGTCTTCTTGTGCGGGACTTCTCTATTTTTCACACATGAAGTATGAAATCACACTTGTTTACTTGTTTTTAAGATTTAAAAAAAAGAAAGAAACCTTTACCGTAAGAGAAGTCGAAACCGGGTCGATAGATTGCTGTGTGAGAGTCATCTCCACTTGACCACCGAACTCAGCTGCCAAAAAAAAGGGAATGTTTTGGATACATATCCCTAACCCTAATATCTATAGGCTAACCTCAAGTAATCTAAGCTAATTTTGGCTAACCGTAGTGCTGTTTAAGCTAACCAGAGTGCTAGTTAGGCTAATCGGAGTGCTAGCTAAGCTAACCGAGCGCCAAATCATATGCTGGTCAATACAGAAATATTATCTGGTTAAATTCATCATCAAGTGTCCACCTCCTAGACGTTGATATAGAAATATCATGTAGTGTAATTCATCATCAGGTGTCCTCCTCCCAGAGGTTGATACTAATTTTACTTTACCTCGCTTTCCTCGCCCGCGATTCTTTGGTGTTGCGCGCTTTACATAGGCTCGAGTTCCAGCCGTTTTGTGAGCCCGCGTTCTTTGCACCACAGCACGTTGGGAGGAGGATCAACAACCGGGCTGCCGACTCCCAAAACGGCTGGAAATCGAGCCTACACCTTACACGATCTTCTAAGAAATAAAGTGGCTCTAAGAAGCTTTCATCTAAATTCTATTTACAGATCTACTGCAAAGTCTGGTCTCTGCTTCGCTCAAATGACTGGTACCCGATAAGTTTACTGCTACATCATCCAGTCAGCGGATTCGTCTGGAAATTTCAACTAGCTGCAGTGTACCCTTTTCAATCTTTAGGCTTAATCCTGTCGCAAAAGACGAAAAAACAAAAAGTAAAACTGAAATATGAGATCACATAAATAACACGATTTACAATGATGTGGCCAGTCTAATCAAACTGATAGTTATTGTGTAGGAAGACCACACATGCATGTTATTTACCAGTAAAATACAGTAAACACCCAGGTATAAGAACAAGTGGATTAAGAACATCAGACTGAAAGTTGGCCATTAAAGCACCATATATATCTAAGAACCAATTCAGCCTGATAGATAAAACATGTTCTTATATAAAAGGAAAGTGCATGTCAGAATAAGAAAACGATCATATTATGGTAGTTATTTTTTATTTGAAATTTATTTTTTAGTGCATCTCTAAGAATTTATGTTAATTACACCAATACTAATGTTAAGTATAGTATTTTAAGAACATTTTAAGAACATTTTAAGAACATTTTCAGGCTGATTTCTCACTAAGTACCCGATAAATAAGAATTTGATCAGCCTGAACCCCGAAATCATAGGTTCTTATATGCGGGTATTTACTGTGTGTAACTGAATTAAGAAGAAATATTTCCATTCATTTATTTCAGTCATACAGGCCTGGGATGGGGGAGGAGGAGTTACAGAACAAAAGAAGCAACAAACTGAACACCGAGAGGAAATGAAAAGTTTTATTACGATGAGATGCTGATTAGCCTGAACTAATCAGCTTGTCACGAGCATGAGATGGTCGGAAAAAATTCAGAGTTCCCGTTAAGATGCGAACATATGACTTCCCACTGCCAGTTGTACGCCTAACCACTGAGCAAAACAGAACTGATGAATGTCATAGGATTTTTTCCCTATTCATTGCCCCACGCTCCTGACAAACTAATCAACATGGTATGATTATTCAACGAGTTTCACGTTTATCATAATTTCACTTCTATCACAAGTTCTTTGTTGATTATAACCAGGTTAACCTCTTTGATATTAGTTAAACATCTTAAATAATTTCAATTCCGTGTGATATTTTTACAGTGCAGTGACTTGAGCTGAGTTAATCAAGGAGTTTTCAGCAGAAATTTAAAGCATGAGAATGGGAGTTTGTTCGTGACCAATCGAGTTGGAGCAGAGTATAAATATTCGCTGTTAGAACAGACAGTTTTGATTAATTACGGTCATATTTCCTTGACTTGAAAAGCGCAGAGCGTACTCAGTATAAGCCGGTATAAGCTTTATCTATGGTCGTTTGTCATACACTCATTATCTGTGTGGTAAGATTCAGCGTATCTGAGTTATTTTGTCGCCGGGTTCGAAATTGTATTCGTCGAGCTAAAAGTTATTCGTTTCGTGAAATTATCATTTTTTTTGTCGCTGGACCGTAATGGATTGTGTTCTACGCGCCGGCCTCAACTGAAATGATTGTTCAAGTCAACGAAATTTGAACAAGTAATTATCAGCCAATCAAAATCGTCTGTTCGAAGGGCTAACAATCGCAATCCTCGTATATCGACAAGATGATGTCCCCGCACAAGTTGTTACACTATAACTTTGTTTCTTAATATAAGCACCTGAACTTTTTGCTTTTCCTGTCGTCTTTGTCTCGAGGCAACTTTACGTGAAGAACTTTGAAATTCACTCTGGAATCGTCAAAACCAATGGCGAGAAGACCTTCACGAGGATATGATGCTAAACAGGTCACAGGGCCTTCGGTGGCAATTTCACTTAGCAGGTCACCTGACTTGACGTTAAACAGGCGAAGCCAGTTACCCGGCAATTCAGCAGTAAACGTAAGGTTAGTAACGCACTCCTCGTCACCTACAAACTTACAATCAAGGTTGGAACCAAACCAGTAACTATATGACCATAACAGGTGGAGCGTTTTTCCAGCAACTACATCGAGGACGTAAAGGGCCACATCATGACATATATAGGTGGTCACTTTGTGTCCCACAGCAAGAACACAATACTGTTCAGTAGGGGAAAATCTCTTGCATCGAATTAACGGGTCTTCGATAGGCAGAGATATCTTCCAGAGTACGACATCGCCATAATGCATCTGGAATTGCCCATAATCAGTGGTTATCACCTGACATTTACTGTTGCATGCAACAAAATCACCATGAATAGAGATTGCTGACACAATGCCTTCCCTAGTTGTATCCACAATAATGACCTTGCTCTTTACTTCACAGGCCACTCGTTCTTCTGATATGGGGATTACTTCAGTGATGTACCCTAGGCCAGTCCAACTGCGGATGCACTCAGACAACTCAGAATTCCACAGCTCAAGGGTGCTCCTACTGGTTTGCAACAAAACACCATCTCTCACAGATACAAGATTATTTTCAACAAGCGTATGAACATCAAAATCGCTTTTCTCAGCTTTGAATATCCCACTTGAAATGTGCCAGGCCTTAAGTGTTGCTGAAGTCGCATTTGTCCTAGCGACAACATACAGAGTGTCACCATTCAATGAAAACACGATTTTCTCCGCATCCATGTTTGCAACTCTGGTAGTGTCTTTCGTCAGTTCATCAAGGTACAACATCTCTATGACGTCAAGGCTAGAGGAAACTTTCAATACAGATTGTTGATTCAGCACAAAAGCAAGGCCGGTTATCGGTGGGAAGAGTGTATATGTTTCAGGTGACAAGTAAAAAGGATCTCCTAATAAATAGCCGGCCTCACTACACGATTCAAATTCCCACGGCTCATAAAAAGCTTCATCAGGAGAAACATCTATAGAAACATTGCCATCATTTTCCATGTTGAGGTGTAAACGAAAGAGATCCCATTGAACAGTATGCAAACAATAAAGGGAATAACAGTCTGGCGAGAACTTTATCATTCCGCATACTTCTGAAGTTGTTGTCTGCGCTAGAGTTCTGTAGCCATCCTCGACATCAGCCAAACAAATCGAACCACACTGGTCAGAAATTGCTAGCAGTCTTCCATCGCGAGACCAAGCAAATGACAAAATATCGTGATGCCAGATGAAACGATTTATCTCTGAACCATCCGTCAGACTCCACATGATAACTGATTTAGCATCATTGGGGCAATCAGTTAGCATCTTGATCTTGTCTGCAGAGATTGAACAAACCGAGAAACGACACTTGCTCGAAACAAAAAGTGGTTTCAGGTCCCCGTCAAACGTATAGGCATGGCTGAGGATTCCTGGTAAGACAAAGTCCTCTGTAGGATGGAACACTACTGAGCGGTACAATGACTTTTCACCACAGTGCGTATTTGGTCTATATGGTTCATAGTCGTAATCTCCGTCATCAAAGTATTCATAGTAATCTTTCATTACAATGACATCTTGTTCCCATAGCTGCTTGCCAGTATGAAGCGACCATAGCTGTATCGTGTTATCTCTACATTCGCATACCATGTAGTCTAACTGTGGTGAAACATCAAAACAAGTTACATCATCTGAACATTCGAATGTGCTTTGAACACTCCCAGGCAGATCCTCTTTGTGTAAGTATTCCATATACGCCAATTCAGAATATTTAGTATCTAAAAGTTTTGATGCTTCAGAAGACAACTCAGGTCCTCCTTCATTCAGAACGGTTTGAAAGAAAATGTTAGGAAGTTCTTTGAACGGGCTAACATGCTTCCTTAACAGACAGAGCAAAGTGTCGAGGACTCTGTAACATTCTCCAGGCAACGCTCCCATTCCCCTTTTCTTGTAGACGGAAAGAACATCTTCAGATGCTCCGGTAACGTTTAAACACACTTTTGCATAGACAACCTCTAAGTCCAAAACATATTTCTTGGTGACTTCCTCAAGGCTGCATACTCTCCATCCTCCAGTTGTAGCGTGTGCTGAACTCCATGTCTCAATGTCTCCATGCTTTGTAGTGTCACTGAACTGTGGGCAGTCGACGCCCTTTCGTTTTACATCATCGAGTTCGTCAACGCAGAGCTTAGAAAGGACTTCATGGCCTTCTTTTTCGTCCACACTGAAGTGGTGCTGACCGTAGGTAGACGTTTCAATTAGCCAATCTTTGATCGACTTGTGAAAGAAGTGAATACACTCGTCTTGAATGGGTAGAAGTGCCGAGACACAGGCAATTGCCGCATTTACTTTTCGCTGAACCACTGATTTCGGTGTAGTTGGTAGCAATAATTTAGAAGCAAAACCGAGTGGCAATGGCTCTCTTGCTGCTGCGATGGCACTCAAAAATTTCAAAAACTGGTCTTCCGTGACGTTAAGTTCCTTACAAAGTTCACTCTCCAGTCGCTTGAAATACCACTGGTATACAGACGAAATACCTGATGGTAAGACGCCATCCAACCGTTCAGGGGTTACCAATGGCACTTCCTTCTTTATGAAATCTACCAGGTAATGAGCATATAGCATAACTCCTTCTGACTTTTGAACCAGTGCTTGCAAGATGATTTCTCGATGCTCAGATTGCAATAAATGGCTGATTTGCTTTTCAAAGTAAAGGTGAATATCCTTCACATTCTCTTCAACGTCTGGATCCAGCTGCAGGGGGTACAAACGCTTTAGATTTTCTGTTATGTTTCTTTCCGGTCGCGTTGTCACCAGAAATCGAATCCACAGTGGAAGACTTTGAAAGTAATTAGCAATTAAGTCTAGTAGCTCATTTCTTCCTTGGAATTCA